TGCTCAGATCAACGCTGTCATCAACCAGGAGGCTGGCAAGATGGTTGAGGTCTGTGGTACTCTCGTCCGTGATGGCAAGCCTGTCATGGAGGTCACCTCCCAATTCTTGTACCGTGGTACTTACACCGATTACGAGAACACCTTCCAACGAAAGGTTGAGACTCCTATCCAGCTTCATCTGGCCACTACTCAGGATGTTGCTATCCTTCGATCCAAGCAGTGGTTCTCCGTCGATGAGCTTCCTCAGAACATCGACTTGCTCGGCCAGACTCTGACTTTCCGTCTCCAAAGCTTGGTTCGCTACAAGAACAAGGCTGTCTTCAGCAGCATCGAGACCCGCGGCCAGGTTCTGCTTGAGCTCCCCACCAAGGAGATCATCCAGGTCGGCAGCGTCGACTATGAGACCGGAGAGTCTCATGGCAACCCCGTCGTTGATTACCTTGAGCGCAACGGCCAACCTATCGACCAGCCCATCAACTTTGAGAACTCCATCCCCCTTAGCGGCAAGTCTCCTCTCGCTCTCCGAGCCCCTGCTTCCAACGAGAATTACGCTCGTGTGTCCGGTGACTACAACCCCATTCACGTCTCTCGTGTATTCTCCAGCTACGCCAACCTCCCTGGTACCATCACCCATGGCATGTACTCTAGTGCATCCGTGCGAAGCCTGATCGAGACCTGGGCTGCCGAGAACAACATTGGCCGTGTCCGAAGCTTCCACGCCTCGCTTGTTGGCATGGTTCTGCCCAACGATGAGCTCGAGGTTAAGCTTCAACACACTGGCATGGTCTCTGGTCGCAAGATCATCAAGGTTGAGGTCCGCAACAAGGAGACCGAGGACAAGGTCCTTGAGGGCGAGGCCGAGGTTGAACAGCCTGTGACTGCCTATGTTTTCACTGGACAGGGTTCTCAGGAACAGGGTATGGGTATGGAGTTGTACGCCAGCAGTCCCGTTGCCAAGGAGGTCTGGGATCGCGCCGACAAGTACCTCCTCGACGCCTATGGTAAGTTTCATGAATCGGTACTATCAATGTGCAACTGCTAATATATCCCAGGTTTCTCCATTACCAACATTGTCAAGAACAACCCTAAGGAGCTCACCATCCACTTCGGTGGTCCCCGTGGTAAGGCTATTCGCCAGAACTACATTGCGATGACTTTCGAGACCGTGGCTGCGGATGGTAGCATCAAGTCTGAGAAGATCTTCAAGGAGATTGATGAGACCACTACCTCATACACCTACCGCTCCCCTACTGGACTTCTCTCGGCCACCCAGTTCACTCAGCCTGCCCTTACTTTGATGGAGAAGGCCAGCTTTGAGGACATGAAGGCCAAGGGACTTGTGCCTAACAACAGCACCTTTGCTGGTCACTCTCTCGGTGAATACTCGGCCCTTGCTGCCCTTGCCGAGGTCATGCCAATTGAGAGTTTGGTGTCCGTTGTGTTCTACCGTGGTCTCACTATGCAGGTTGCCGTCGAGCGTGACGCTGCTGGCCGATCCAACTACTCCATGTGCGCTGTTAACCCTAGCCGCATCAGCAAGACCTTCAACGAAGCCGCTCTCCAGTTCGTTGTTGACAACATTGCGGAGGAGACTGGCTGGCTCCTTGAGATTGTCAACTACAACATTGCCAACATGCAGTATGTTTGCGCTGGTGATCTCCGTGCGCTCGACACTCTTGCTGGTGTGACCAACTTCATCAAGATCCAGAAGATTGATATTGAAGAGGTCAAGGACAACATCGAGGAGGTTAAGGGACATCTCCGCGAGATCATCCGCGGCTGTGCCGAGAAGACTCTTGCCAAGCCCACACCTCTTGAGCTGGAGCGTGGCTTCGCTACCATTCCTCTCCGTGGTATTGATGTGCCCTTCCACTCGACCTTCCTTCGATCTGGTGTCAAGCCTTTCCGATCCTTCTTGCTCAAGAAGATCAACAAGACATCCATCGACCCCTCCAAGTTGGTTGGAAAGTATATTCCCAACGTGACGGCCAAGCCGTTCGCGTTGACCAAGGAGTACTTTGAGGATGTGTACAAGCTGACCAACTCGCCAAAGATTGGTGCTGTGTTGGCCAACTGGGAGAAGTATAACCAGGACGAGACCGCTACCGACGGTGTTGAGGGTAGCGACAGCTCCAGTGGCGAGTATGAAGGCTCTGGCCGTGCTGCTTGAGTGACTTGGAAAACAAAAGAGAAAGGGAAATATAATAAAAAATAAGAAAAGGGACCATGCAGAGACATGATGTAACGGAAGATTAGAGATGGATGGATGATCACGAAGAGAGTTTACAGATTCCCGGCCGGATTGTTATCCTGGCATGAGTATATTACGATGTATCTTGTTATCTTTAGCTAGAGGGGCGTTTGTTTTTGCTACAGTTTTAGAGAAATTTGAATCCTTGATGACGAAATTTGGTTCATAAATCGAATAACATATCTCGTCCTGTGAAACCTTAGGATGCGCACGCAGTCTTGTGATGTTGGTTCTCGCTCCCGGCGCTGTCGTACAAGTGAGGCTTGTGTAGGAAATAATTGACGAGATAATAAAATACCTGACATTGATTGGTGTGCTTCGGCTCAGCGACTGTACCACCCTACCATTGGATCTCACTGGTTCCGAGCGGTAGCGGTCGGCTGCCGGCGACGGCCGGAGATGGACAAGTGGTGGAGATGGCCTATCAGGGAAATCAAGTCCGCTTTGGTCGCTAACAACATCGCAAACATAGATAAGTTTACTTGTTCATGAATTCGCATATAAGGTCCAAAGGGGAAGGGCTTTAGACTCGTTCTTTTTGTTCTCGGGGTTTCTTTTCCCTTTCGGCTCTGTTCGCTACTACACAATCCCCACTTGGCATCTTACCTCTTATTGTTCAACAACATAGCGAACACTTGAGACATTGAGATATAGAGGAATCTATAATGGCGGGCTTAAAGAATCAAGTCTTTGTGGGGACATTCATATCCAGCAAAAGTCCCAAAGAGCTTGACTATCAGCATGACACGATTGTATGTGTTGATGGAGAGGGTAGAATTGTCAAGGTCGATACGGAGGGCGGCAGTACTGTGCAGATTGGAAAGAGACTACGTGAAACTCTGAACTGGGAGCTCAGCGATGTAGACGTCCATGTTGCGAAGCCTGGGCAGTTCTTCTTCCCTGGTTTTGTTGGTGAGTGATACAGCCCTTGCTCTCCAAGAAACACACTGACAGAAACACTAGACTCACATGTGCATGCATCTCAATACCCAAATGTGGGAATCTTTGGAAAGACCACTCTCCTAGACTGGCTGGAAAAGTATACATTCCCTCTAGAGTCAAGTCTAAAGGACTTGAGCAAGGCAAAGCGAGTATATGGCTCATGTGTTCGACGGACATTATCACATGGAACGACAACAGCGGCTTACTATGCTACCATCGACGTAGCAGCAACGAACCTTCTCGCTGATCTCTGCTTAGAGATAGGACAACGAGCTCTTGTTGGACGCGTGTGTATGGACAACCCTGACATGTGCCCAAGCTACTATCGCGATGAGAGTGTCGAAGAGGGCCTTGAAAAGACGAGACAGACGATTCGACATGTCCAAAAAATCGACCCTGAGTTTAAACTTGTATCTCCGGTGCTGACACCCCGATTTGCACCAACTTGCTCCAGCGATTCGATGAAGGGACTGGCAAAGATCCAAAAGGAACTGGATCTTCCTGTCCAGACACACGTTTCCGAGAACGAAGGAGAAGTCGAACTTGTCGCAAAGCTGTTTCCGGAGTCGGAGTCGTATACGCAATTGTACGATGATTGCGGTCTTCTCACCACCCGGACGATTCTTGCGCACGCGATTCACTTGACCGAAGCGGAGGCAAAGCTGATTGCGCAGCGGGGAAGTAAGATCTCACACTGTCCCTGCAGCAACAGTTCACTCACCAGCGGTTCTGCACGCGTACGATGGCTCTGGGACAAGGGGATCACAGTTGGCCTTGGTACAGACATGAGCGGCGGCTACAGCCCTTCCATTCTCGAAGCAGCACGTCAAGCAGCCCTTGTGAGTCGACACGTCGCGATGGGAATGGACGAGGAAAAGGAACGGAGCAAGTTGACGGTCGAAGAGGTGCTGTATCTTGCAACTCGCGGCGGTGCAGAGGTTGTTGGACTGGCTGATAGAATCGGTGGGTTCGAGGAGGGTATGGAGTGGGATGCTCAGTTGATAGGACTAGGGAGTGTTGATGAGGATGGCCTGGCGGATGATGACGGGAATGTGAATGTTTTCGGGTGGGAGACTTGGGAGGAGAAGATTGCGAAGTGGCTGTTTAATGGAGATGACAGGAATGTCAAGAGGGTTTGGGTTAGAGGGAGAACCGTTCATGTGAGATAGGTAAGCAGAGGACAAAGAGATGAGCTGAGAAAGACTGCCCAGGCTATTTCAGACACTATCGAACGAACACTGACAGCAATGCTATTTGCCGGTATGTACAGCAGCAGAGCAGTACGATCTCTGTCTGCCCTCGTAATCATCAGCGTCAACGTTTCACTTAATTACATGCTCAATCAGCTCTAATATGGTATGGATTGCTAAAAGAGGCGTGCTACGAACCCATGACAGGATTGTTGCTTTGGGCTTTTTTCTGTCACTTCATCACTTTATCACTGACAGTACATATTACTGCTGAGTTTTTGTGTAATAGCCTTAACTAACTGCGTGTATCATTATAACTCCTGCCTATTTATCCGAGGCATGACACTTTGTGTGAAGAAAACACGGCAGATCCGATTCGCATGTGAAGCCTTGGTTTGGCTTCACTGATATATCCTCCATACTCGCACAAAAAATTACCAACCATCCTCCTCCGGTATGGTTCATAGCCCTCATGTAATGGCCGAAACTCTCATCTCCAATGACAGACACTCGTAACCTGGAGACCTCGATGCGACTTTCATTACGAGACTGCATCAGTCGCTAATCGCGTGGCTTCTCACTTCAGCCCTGCGTCTTCCCCACGGGTTGACAGGTTTTCAAAATTGGTTCCGTTCGTCGTCGGAAGGGTACAGCTCATAGTTAGAATAGTTGCCTTCGAAGAGGCTTTTGTTGCCCTCGCTTGTAAAAGAGTTCTCATAGGTGAGGTGTTTGTCATTTGCGAAGTCGCAAGCCCGAGGAGTGAGGAGCTGTTGGCTGGCACTAGGAGGCCGTCCGCCAAAGGCATAACGATCTGTGGGATCGATGTGGTCAAGTCTAGCGCGTGCAAGAACGGCTGGGTTGAAGCTGTTGCTTGGGACGGGGTTTGCAACTCTAGGTAGATCGGCTCCGGTGATCTCACGTCTAACGGTCTCGGTCTTCTTGACGTTGCGGCCATTGCTCTTGCTGGCCCGGCTAGGCTTAGGCTTAGTGGCCTTGGTGACTCTATTGGGCTTCTGTTTCTTAGTGGCGTTGCCATTGCCCTGAGGATTAGTGCTGCTGGAAGCATTGTCCTGGATCAAATTGTTGTCGGGGGCGGCACCGTAAATACCGTTGTTAGTAGGGAGATTGCCCTGGAGTCCGTAGTTGACAGAGGTGTTGTCTTGAAAGCTGATATCAAAAGAGGCATTGTACGGAGTACCGCTGTCGATAGAGGCATTGCTGAAAGCGCTGGTGTCAAAACCGGCATCGCCCTGAACACTGTAGTCGAGGGAAGTACTGCACTGAGTACTGTTGCCGAAAGAGACATTGCCGTAAAGGCTGGTGTCGAGAGGAGTGATGTCTTGCATGGGATAGTCAGATAGTTGAGTGCTATCGTCGAGAGCGGTGATTCTTTGAAAACCATTGGTGGTGATGTTGATGTTCTGCATATCATCGGTAGCAAAAGGGGTGTCCTGGAGATTGCTCTGCATAAACCCATTATCATGAAGCCCCAAGTTGGGGAAGTTATTGTTTTGAGGGTTAAAGTCGCCCAAGGCACCACCCTGGAATTCGGTATCAATCGCAGTCCCACCAGGGACCCAGTACTGCATACCATTGTTCAGCATGTCGTTGTTCTGCATGCCATTGCTCAGCAGGCCGTTGTTCTGCATGCCGTTGTTCTGCATGTCATAGTTGTTGACAGGAGCCTCTTGAGAGTCCATAGACATATGAGGGGTGCTGTCAATCTGAGTGTATGGCTGCATGGCCCAGTTGTTTGGAAGAAGTGAATGGTTGTCCATGGTAGATGCACTAGCCATGTTGCCAGTGTTCAGAGCATCTTCATCCATAGTCTGAGTGTTTCCCTCCATAGTATTGCCGGGAGCCATAGAAATGTTGTCGTTGTTGATAGGATTGCCAACATCCATAGTATTGTTGACATCAGTGGTGTTGACAGATTCGATTGCTCCTCCAGCATCGGCACTTTCACCGACATTGGCTGTAGACTCGATTGGAGCGCCATTGGTGTTGATGGGGCCACTTGTGTTGGCATGAATACTGTCCTTTTGATCGTCGTTGATCGGAGTAGGGGCTTCGGCCGTGTCACCAGCAGCGGTAGTGGTATCGGCTTGGGCTTCATCGTCAGGAAAGGTCATTTCAATGAACTCGTCAAGATCCATCTCAGGGAGTTCCTGGCCCTGAGCCTGTGCTTCCTGTCGTTCACGATCTTTCGCCTCGATGGCAGCCATGATTTCTTGAACCTCTTTCTCCTTCTTCGCGGCATCAAGTTTGTTCAGTCTCTAGACACAGTACGTTAGTAAGTTCCTAGGATACCAGAATCGTAAGCACTGTATGTAACTCACTGCGGTTTCTGTATTTCGAGCTGAATGTTCTGAACTTGCGATTCTCTTCATGTGCTGGAGTTGATCGTATTCGGCCTTGCACACTTTCTTATCCATATCCGCAGACATTATCTTTTTGAGGTCCTCGGAGACGGCATTCCATTCTCTAGGGTCGGCGCCAAGGGAGACAGCCTTAAGGCGCCACCAGTTCATTTGGACTTGTAACTTTTTAGTGAGTTCCCTGAGGTTTATAGCTTTTTCTTCCCGTCTCACACGAGTTCCCTTTGCAGATGTGTTGTTGCGGGCAAGGTTGAGCTTCTTCCTTTCGTTGAGAATAACCTCGTTCCTTGCTGACAGGACCTTCTCCAGGCGAGCGTCTTCAACTCCGGGCGGCATCACGTAGGTATTACCAATAAACTTGGATGGGGGCTTAGGAACATTAGAGGGCGAGGGGATGGGAAGACTTCCAGGCTGAACCTGATTCTTGAGCTCGACCTCAATCATCTTGAATCGACCATCAACATCGTTCTTGGGAAGAGCAGGATCGGGACCCAAGCCAACTTGGCTGAGCCGAACACCCCCGATGTGTAGTGTGTGAGCACGAGGGTCCATAGAGCTAACGTCATACTCTACCTGAAGCTGGGGGTCAATCGGAAGGTCAATGGCCGTCTGTTGATTATCCACGCCCATCTGAGAAGATGAGCCGCCGGACCAGGTCACAAGAGCTTGCACGTCTGCAGATGCTGGATCTGTCTGTTGTTGAGGCGCAGTTGGGTTAGCAGCACCCTCGTTTTCAGCAGCTTGTCGAGCAGCAGCAGCAGCATGGACTCTTCGGTGTTCGGCGATAGCCAGGCTAATGATTCCCTGGACAACAAACGGTCTAAGAGTGCCTTCCTTTCCGCATCTGTCTCTGTGGTACTGCTTGAACGCTTCAGAGAAACCAGGGATCTCCCACCATCCACCAGGGGTGGGATCAGTACGGGGTGCCTGGGACTGAAGTTGTTGAGCCGGCTGGTGTGGCGGTAGATCGATCGTCGAAGCAGGTGCTTGGACCTCAGATTGTGTAGGCTGATATAACTGTAGGGCAACAGTAGAATGAGGTTCTTGGACCTCAGGTTGAGTAGGCTGATATAGCTGTAGGGCAACAGCAGAAGGAGATGCTTGAACCTCAGGTTGAGTGGGCTGAGGCACTTGCAGAGTGGGCTTCTTGGTCGCAGGACCTTCTTGGGAAGCTGAGGGATCAACACTGTCGATAGATCGCTTCAGGTTCTTTCTCGGTTGCCTGGCCTTCTGAGAAGGGGGTGCTTCGGCTTGAGGTTGATGAACCTCTTGGGAGCCCTGTGGAAGAGGCAGTTGAGAAGTCGAAGCTTGTGCTTGAGTCTTCTTAGGCTGTCTTCTTCTGGGCTTTCTAGCAGGGGCCGCTCCTGTCTGAGGTTGTCGAGACTGTTCAGAGACTGGTACAGTAGGTACCTGGAAGGTAGTTGATGTCTGAGCCGCTTGGGATCCAGCAGCGGGTGGGAAGCTGGTACCATAAGCTCGGATAGATGCAATAGCTTCTTCTGCAGACCCAGGTGACAGATGTACTTGAGTCAACGGGCGGGCAGGTTGAAGAGGCTTCGAGGGAAGTCCTTCAGACATGGTGTCTTCGGGACGCGAAACCGCGTGGAGAATAAATAGAAAGGGTATACAATGTGCAGGTGATACTGTGAACAGTGTTTAGTGTAGTGATTATGTGCAGATGTGACCTGCGGCAGTGAATAGCTGCACAAGTCGTGGGTGCGAGATGTGGTAGTATGCAGGGATGTTCAGATGTAGTTCTGAGGGATGAAATCATAAAACAGGAGATGCTCGTGATTGGAAGAGAGATCAAATGAATATGATCCAAACCGCAGAAGTGTGCTGTGGTAAGAAAAAGAAGTTTGGGTTTGTGAGAGCGAGGTTGTGATGTTGTGATGGGAGGAGAAGAGAGAGGAGAAAGGAAGAGATGGGGGAACGGAGTGGGTGGAGCAACCAGGAAGGCAGAGCAGCAAACGCAGTTCTGCGGACCTCGAACTGCCAGTGTCAGTAGAAATAGCGGGCGATGCAGTCGAGACAAGCGAGTGAGTTCCCTACGTGGAAATCTTGCAGTGGCATAGGGGCATTATGAGCTAATGCACTTGGTCACTGCGAGGTATAGTCCGCCTATGACAGTGGAGGCACGCGTGGACAGACAGTTTAGAGGTAGCAGACGCGCCTGAAGACGTGATCAAGAAAAGAAAACGTCACGGGCAGAGCAACAGGTTATATCCCATCTGATGCAATGGAAGCCATATGCTGCATTTTTGTTTGGCAGTCCACGTGAGCATATCCCAGACCTTTCTTGACAACATTCTCTAAATAAGCTAGCCTGAGGATGCTCTACTATGTATCTATATCGAGTATATAATATTTTGCAAGTGATGCATGCCTATGAAGCTATATCATCGAGTGTCTGGAGGACCCTATGCATTGAAGTCGAGAGTGGAGTTCCATATCCTGGCACTGCAGAGCCTCTATCCCCCACATCAAGTTGATACCCATGGAGATAAACGGCCAATCGCCTGGGTGAAGAAAACACATGACGTGGTTACTCGCGAGGGTGCACGAGGCGTAACATGCCAGGAAAACAATTCCAGCAAGAATGCACTCTGATAGTTGTTTATATATCTCAAGCTCCTAATCTAACTGTATAAATATGGAAAAGAACAATCTTTGGTGAGTCATTCTTCCTTATTTCTTTTGTTTTGTTGAGTCTTGATTCGTCTTGGTGGTTTACCCCCCCAACTCGCCAACTCGCCCCATTGTCGGTATTCACTAGTGTCCAAGCTTCCAAAACCCAACCCGGAGGACCTCTTATATCGTGTCTTGATCGTCTGTGTTTTTTTGGAGTCGTATCGATCGTTCCGCTTCACCACAGCTAACTCGTGTCATGGTTCGTTTCGTAGGTAGTGTCCGTATCGATGGTACACATCAAAACAGCTCGCCGAATAATCGGACTATCAAGACAAAAACAACATAGAAACAATGCTGAACCATCTAGGTACGTCGGAATGCATTCTCGAAAGCGCTGGATCATCCTGTGTTGATGGGCGTAAATAGGGGTTACGGTTGGTGTTGGCCGTCAGCAGTGTCGTTGGTGACGCACCGACATAAACAAAAAGGAGAAAAACTCTTTGGGACCAGCCAAGAGGACGAAATAGTCCATCCAAGTCAGTCTATTGAGATGACCATGTTCGCTCGTTAAGTCGTTGTCTTGCTGAACATGCTTGCTCACCACCCCCCTTCACTTTACATTCGCGCCCTTTGTTTGAACATCGCCCAGCACTCACTCCCTCTCATACAACTAGCATTGATCTCATTGCTAATATCTTTCTTTACCAGTCATTCTACCATCGTCGATCGCGAACCATCCCGAGAAAGACACGATTCGTCAAGAACTCAAAAAGATTAATAGGAATTGAATTTCCACATGCCAAAAGACTTGGCTTTTCGACAACACATCGCTGTCCGCTTCATGGTATCTAAAAGCACCGTGCCGCTCCCATACTCAAGTCATGTCCTGAGTCCATCAAGGCCGTTACTACCCGAAAGAGAGTGTCCCAATACGCCGCCGCGAATACGTTACCCCCTTTTTCCAATCCCGATGGCTTGCTTGCCGTTATCTTGACCCAGAGCCCTGCTCACAAGGCCAATCCTGTTCCGTCCTTTGTCCATCGATAAACTGCCAAAAGCTCCCTTCGCCGTTGTTGCTGCTCTCCCAGATCCTCAGGTACACGACCTCGAACCTGAGCAAGAGCGCTACGCATAACTTTACTAAATTTTCGCTATCCATTGTTAGTTTTTACGCTGAGACCTCAATTCCTAAGAAGGACTTGCCTGATATTCTGTGCTTAGAGTGACTACACATGCTTCGTGAGCCCGCACGATTGTCTCGCATGCTTTTGCAACACTTGGCGATGCCTCCGACTGCAGCTTATCCGCAATAAGCAGCAGCAAGAACGACCCCTGAAGAAGATATATACCGAAGAAGAACGGCATGAATTCCAGTCCAGGATCGAATTCAAGAATCTGGTTGATCGCTTCAGCCGCAGCAACAGCATGGCTCGTCGATGTGATGAATCCCTGCGATGAGATCCACAGATCCTCATCATCCAACAAGTTGATGGGATCCCATTTTCCGGCCAATAGAATATGCAAGACGTGCATAACATGAGTTCCGTATGCAATAACGATTCGAGTCTGTATGTTGCTCTCGGTGAGACGATTCGATCCGTTAGTGTGTACAGAGTGGACTGATGGCGTGTTGGCATCAGGAACCCCTGAGCGCTCGTTGCCCTCGTTCTGAGCATCGACTCTTTCCTCCGCCGGTCGAGGCAGGTTCTTGTGCTCGAAAGCCTGCAAACTCTGCTCATAAATTTCCAGATGTCGAGTAATTTCTGCGGTTTGGGCATTCCACTCGTGGCCTTGACGAAAGCCGGTTCCGAAACGCGGATGATTCTTTGCGTGGTGCAAGTCGACAATTTCACCCAGGATCGTCATGAGAGGGAGGAAATATCCAAATATGCTGTGGCCTCGGCACTCGTATTGAGGACCATGAGCTTGTGTCATGTCGGCGCCATACCCTTCTGGACTCGTTCCCAGTAGATTGGGATCTGTGGTTGAATTTGAGTGGCCGCTGAAGTCGCCGCTCTGCCATCGGGCGTCGTCCATGGGTTGCAACAAACCCTGGCACTCGATATCAAGCAAAAATAAGGGGCGATTGTAACACAATGCCAAATGTCTGTCGACGATGTAAAGGAGCCACCATATTCGGCGTCGCTCCTCACGTTCTTCCTCGCCTACATATCCGTTACCACTAATACCGCCTTCTCCATCATCTGCGGTGTCAGTGTCCATGTTCTCTTGAGTTGCAGGTGAAGGTCCAGGGGGAAGCTCGCGACCCAGCTTCAGCTCACGAGCAAGACCCCAAGCAGCGGTCCACCATCTCATACTTGCGCCTTTGTATTCGCTCGCAGAGACGACGACCGCCAAGTGAATGTAAGTGATCACGTCGTCAAGACTACCTGCGGCACCAAATGGCCCCGATTCGCCACTTGTAGCATCGAGGCTAATTGAGCCGGGCATAGCCACACCCAACCCACCAAGAGCAACACCATCAGCAACGGGGCTGGGCGCATCGCTTGGTGCTGTATGAATGAGTGGTCGAAGGAGATACACTGTGAGTTCTAGGAGCTTCTGACATGTCTTGGCACGAGCTGATGGTGTGCTGGCGAGGAAAGGAGCGTCACTAGTCTGTGCAGCAACCCAAAGCATGCTTGCCAAGAGGGCTGGTTGACATGGTCTCGGCCTCGTCTGATCAAGGAAATATCGCTTTCGAAATACGAACCCCAAGACATAGGGTGACATCGGGTGCATCTGGGCCGATGAAGAGGACGCAAAGTATAAGTCGATTAAATCGCAAGCCAGCGGGATAGGGATAAGGTTGTTGAGATATGGCACCAATGGCTCAAGAACGGGATACCGCAATTTTGAGTTATTGAAGGCCGGAGCTGGGACCTGGGACTGGTATTGTCCTGGCGGTGAAGCCATTGAGATACCCCATCCAGGTGAAGCTCCCTTTCCCATTGAGTACCCAAGAGGGCTGTTTCCCATCCTGAATGTGGGGTTGTTGGCAAAGTTAGGAGGACTCTGGGCTTGCATCGAATATGGAAATTCGGCATAGCCAGGCATATTGCCTCGCCCGTTGGCCGCATATGACTGACCATTGAGCACAGGACCTTCAAGACCCTGCGTCTCATAGCCGTGAGCCATACTTCCGAAGCCATTGAGATCCAGACCGCCGTTATTTTCAATATGTTCGCCATCCAGAGAGGAACGACCCATGTGTGGTTGCTCGCTTATGTTGCCAAGGGGGTCGAGGCCTTCCAGACCTTGAGTATGTCGCATCACATCGTCGCCGGGATCTCTGCTCGATTTGCTGCTTGTGCTCGGGTGCCGTTCATTAGATTGCTGCTCCAGTACCATATTCGACGAGTCGAGTCCCTTGTTGCTGGATTGGCCATTCTCAGATGTTGATTCATCAAGAGTCTGGCCGTTGGCAGCCGCGGCCGCCTGAGCAGCAGCTTGCTGGGCCAGTTCCTTTCTCGACGCCTTTCCTCGCTTCTTCCTTTCGCGGATGTACTCACACCCCAGGCCGAATTCTACAGAAGTCAGAAACACTCCGTTAATGTTTGACCTCAGTACCTACCAATGCAGTGTGCACAGGGGTGTTGGCCGTCGCATTTCGTGCGTAGTTGATTGCACTGATCACAAGCTCGACTGATTCTTCTCCTGATGGGTCCTGAGGTGCTGGCGTTGCGCGGGTGGATTCCATAAGGATGCTGTCGATTCTTTACTTGGGGACCTGACCTCTCCAGGTGAGCGTTTGAGAGGGGGACGGCTTGCGAGAGTGGTTGAATCGGATATTGATGGCTTTGGCCGAGTGATTCCAGTCCTGTACCTGACATCGTGCCTTGCTGAACGTTTCCATCCGGTGAGATGTTGGAGGAGGTGATGTTCTGGTAAGGTGAAAAACGTTGAAGTGGATTAGACAACATGTTGCCGGTGCTCGCGCTCAACCG